TAACCAAAGAAGAGGCGATCTGCTGCTTTTGAGAGAAAAGGTAGTGCCAATGAATGTGCATAATACTTCCTTCTGAATAATTAATCTGATTAGTCTATGGGAATTCTGTTCAGAGACTGACAATTTCTGTAGGTGGAGGCTTACAGAAGTTTTGAAGCTTTCAAACAAAGAGGCAGATAATGCTTCTAAAGAGATAAAATCATTCCTTTGGTCCTGAGCTAAGCTTAGTGAGGTGTGTTTTAACTGAATATAATCTTCATTCTCCTTACTGTCCTCCTTTCAGCCTTTGAGAGAAAGCAAATCTCCCAGGTGTAGTTATGCAGAAATTAGATTCTTGGGTAACTAACTAGAAGACAAAACTCTTCATTATATTTTTGGTTTAGACTCGTTTGCAATGTTTTGTGAGAGAGAAGTTTATTTTGGCTGCTGTTTTTTTTTTTTCCTTTTCTCTCTAATTGGGGTAATTCCAATTTTCCACTGATCTCAAAAGTGAAAATATTCAAAATATTCAATTTTGAAAATTTACTTGTATTCATATTAATTGTATGGAATGTTTCTTACAAAAACTAAAGACTTTGATTGAAAGATTTGCAATATCTGAAACTACACATTCAGCTACTGTTATATTTATTCGTGAATTCTGGTACTCCAGTAAAAATTTAAATGATTTAGACTTACATTTTCCAGGGAGAACAGGTATCAAACTGAGATAATTTCCATTACAGGATTCAGGCTGCAAAAACAGATGCATATCTATTAGTCTTTGTTTCATCTTAGTACTGCTAGAAATTCTTCTCCAATAGGCACTGTAGCAATCAATACTTACTGAAAATATATTTTTTTTAATTAACTTTTTTAAAAAATGGACAGAAGTAATCCTAGTTGTCTTCTATATGACACTGTGAGTCGTCTCACTCCAACAGAAATTTAAAATAACTTATCTTTGAACTTTGGTTATTGGAAAGACCTTGAAAGGTTTATGTAAAGGAAAAAAAATTGAGCTATAGGATAAACGTGCAGTTTTTTTCTTGATGTTTTTATGGTGCCATAATTCAAAGATCTGCTATGTCAATCAGCAAAAATTCCTATTCTAATGAGACTAGAAACCAAATTTGCCTTACAAAGTCAAGATTTTCATCATCTTTTGTTAGCAAATTCTGAGCTGTTGTTTTCATTATGTCTGGATGATCTTGAAAGCCATAGAACTGTAAGATTAAACAGTTCTGCAAAGTTAATAGAAGTAAGTCATGATGGTCTGCTTTTACACCTTTGTTATTTTACACAAGTTTCGATGAATGAGTTTACTTCACTGATGGACACTTTATGATCATTTTGTATATTGGCAGTTACAGTCATTACAAGTAATCATAATTTAGCCAGCTACTGAAGCTGACTGCAAATACTCCATGGCTTCAGCCTGTGACGCCTGTTTCAGCAGCCAAGCAAACTCAAGAAGTTTCTCTCTGGGTGCTTGAATATCATAATGCCATGCTTGTAAGCTGCTGTGTAAACCTGATTACTGACTTGTGCCAGATGAGTTACAAAACCCATGAAGCAACCCAGTTCAGTGATCTGGAGTTGGGCATGCATGTATAAGTCCACTACACAGGAGTTACAGGTGGCAGAGGAAAGATTTCAGGCTGTCTTAAGCATTCAGGCCAGTCATCTCTCTCCTGCAGCCTTAGCTTGCTATCTGGTCTTTATTTCAAGCATATGAAAATTGTCAGGATTTCACTTGGGTCTCTGTCTGTAGCAGAAATGTAGGATGCGTTTCAAAGTGGAATAAAAGATTATTCATTCTTAAAACAATCCACTAAATGAATCACTGTCAGCATAAGACTGAACAGGTCAGAGCTGGATTTTCTAGTTATCTGTTAAATTGGTGGTCAACTAAGGCTGATTATAACTGCATTTTAAATTGCTTTTTAAAAACAGTATCTGTCATTCTGGATTAAGATTACTGTCATAGCATAGCCATATTGTTTTCTTTTTAATATAAAAATATTCTTTAAGCATACCTGTTTCTTAAACAGTGGATGAGTAAAAAGGAAAAAGCAAGTCCACTAGACTGAAATGAAGAAAATTAGGAAATTATTTATAAACTAGAAAGTTACTGTTATAGCTAGACTTAATCAGTTTTTATTCATAAGAAATGAAAGTCATCCCCCGTGGCCTGTGTGAAGGAGTGGGTTAGTCCTAGTTGGAATTCGGAATTAATCTTCATTAATCTTCACTAATTCTGAATTAAAAATTGTCCATTTATAACATGTTGTGACTACCCATGTGTCTAATTGGTTCCCTTCTTGAGTTGTCAGAAAAAAGGCAAAAAAACTGGCAAGGATGAACTCTTAACAAAACTGTCTGCCAGCAAACCTATCTCAGATTACATCAGCCTATACACTAATGCATTTTACACTACTAATCCAAACTAAAGCAAGATAACTTTGTGAAAGTACATCTAATTTTATGCAAATCTCACTGGCAGTATTGCTTCTGTACAAAAAAAAAAAAACAAAAACTACCACCAACAACACAAAAAGAAGCCTTAATTCTCCCATCCCCATAATCAAATTCTTGTACCTTTCCAGATGAATTCTGATACAATACTTTCTGTTCTCCTTCCAAAAGCATTGGCTTTTGGATGTAATGCAGATAAGCTTGTACTTCTACTGCTGCCTTTTCTGTGTTTCTTGGAGCAAGTATTTTTTAGTTAAATTGGTAATATGCTTTGATTATCTGTCAAATTGGTCTTTAAAACATTAGGTGTACTCTGAAAATATTGCATTGTTAGTATCTTGCCTTATAAATTCAAATATATAGGACCAGATCAACTGGCCAAAAGGGCAATGTGATTATCATCTGTGGAAAGTAATGGTGGTTAAGAGAGATCTCTGATAGTTGGGAAAAGGTTAATGCTACCCCCATCCTTGAGAAAGGCAAGCAGAAGAACCAAAGTACTACAGTGGTCAGCCTCATCTCTGTTGCTGGAAAGGTCCAGCCACACATCTGAATCTTTTTTCAGATGCAAAAGACCTGTAGACAGTTAGGGCTACTCAGTTTACGGACATACCTAGGGCAAATAATGTTTGATCAAATTTCCTGCCTTCTATATGAAAAGACAAATGTGAAGAAGAGAGAATATAGCAAAGCTTCAGCTTAGTAAGACTACTGAGACAGCCCCCCAAAACATTCTCATCTGGATGCTGAGGAATTCTGGAATGGATGAGTAGGCTGTAAGGTGGGATCAAAGTGTGGAGAATGATGATTCAGCATCTGGCAGGCAGCTGGTAATGAGCACATTACCTTCAGGGGCTGATACTGGAGCTGAATACTGCAGCCCAGGACAGGGTTACCAGGATCTCAGGGCCTAAAGAACACTGCGGTCTGTGAGCAGTACATGAAGGCAATGAGTTCTGTCTGCTGTGGAGGAGGGGAAAGGTCATCTAATAGCAGCCTACAATTACCTGAAGGGTAGCTGCAAAAGGCAACAAATTTGAACTCCACAGAGGAGCAAGGGTCCATGATTGGGAGGTTGGGAGGTTCAGGTATAACATGAGGAAAAGCCTCTCCACTAGAAATGTGGTACTGCACTGGAGAAGATTCTCCAATGGAGGCTGGAAAATCTGTTTTTTTGAAACTGAAACAAAGCCATGGCTGATGTGATCTGGTTTTGGTGATATAGTCTTATTTTGAGTGGGAGGTTGGACTGCACAACCTCAAGAGGGCCCTTCCAAAGAGCATTTCTATGACTCTGTGAAATGGCAGTGAGATCAGAGAAGCTGTCTAATTTTAAGAGACTAAAGGGAACTAGAAAATCTGAAGTATGGTCTTACTGCAATAAGAGAATGGTTATAAAGAGAAGGAAAAAGGTCAGTTAGTGGATTTGTTTCCTATATGCCTATATCCTACGCTGCAATTTTCCCAGTGGTTTGTTTCATTTTGGACATTTCTTTCTGCATGTCTGCAAGTCATTTCATGCTGGTGTGCCTGGATAAAGAGCAAGAGGGCCAAAAGCTTGGTAAATGTGTGAGTTCAATCTCTGGCTTCTGTCAGTGGAAGTGCTGTTGTTCTTTACAACATAGTATAGTATTTATCACAATGTATCTGAAACTAGATGGGGAGACCAAAAGTTAGGAGGGCGATGAGGGGATGGTGGATTACCTAGGACAGTATTGTTGGCTTTGAAAATTGAGGAGTTGGAGTTCTGTCAAATAGAAGTGAGGATTTACACCTTCAGAGACTGAATCTTGATTTTAGGAACTCTGCGTGTCTGGAAAGAAAGACTGACTTTAAGATGGAGAATGGAAAAATGCATTAACACTTCAACAGTTGACATAGACATGCATTTCCACTTACAAGAAATTAAGAAATTTAGAAAAAAATGTCTGATGCTTATGATTGCAAATCTATGAAGCAATGGGAACAGAAAAGGCAACACCAGTTCTGTGATAAAGGAAGCAGAAGTGCATGAAGCTAATCAGAACAGTCTAATGAGTAGATTAACAGTGGTTGGAAGAAAATAAGTTTTTTTGGAGAAATGCGGCATGTGAGAGTTTCCTGAGGCCTTCTTGTTTAGCACTGATATTCTGGCAAATACAGTAGAAAGACTTGACAAATACCTGTTAACCGTTTTCACATGAACACCTTCAGGTTACACTTCCATGTTTTGTCAGGAGTGTAGTGATTATATTTTTCTCATGAGTAAGAAGTGTGAGGTTCTAGAATACTGCTACCTAGGACAAACATAAATTTCTCTTTAAAGATAAATTAATGCAAAAACTTCCTTCAGTTTTGGATTATTCACTCTACATGAGTGCAAAATAATTCGAAATGTGAAACTAACAGTACTATTTAGGATTAAGCACCCACTTTGTAAATTTTACCTTTAAATGTCATTCCTGCAGCAGTCACAAACTCCTGGAACTAGTGGTTTAAAATGTAAGAGCATCTCTGTAGGCTCAGCACCACTATAATTAAACCTTTCTTGCATTGATTTACAGCCAGTATTACTTGCAGGAGGGAGAGAGCTTACTCATCGGGGAAGATGGCAGACCGGGCGATGATTTCAAGTCGGGGAACAGCCGATTTCTGGACCTGATATGCCAAAGATTGAAAGTAGGGTGGTGGGAGGAGGAGTTTAGGGAGTAGCAACCCATTTATAACCCACCGCAAAGTTCTCAGTGAATCCGAGCGCGAGCAACTTTGTCACCTGCCGTCTCTGCAGCTCGTGCTCCCCCGGGCGGGAGTTACGCCCGACCGGCAGCGAAACGCCGGCGGCCGCCTGCAGGGGCCGAGTCCCAGGAGGGCAGAGCTGCTCCGGCGAGGAGAGCCCCGCACTGAGCCCACCGCACCGCCCGCTCCCGGCTCCGCTCTCCCCCTCTTCGGCTCCATCTCGGCTTTAAATATTTCCGAGCGGGAAGCCAGCCCCCTCTCCTCTCCCCTCCTCTCCTCCTCCTCTCCTCCCCGCCTCCCTCCTCGGGCCAGGAGCTCTCGGCGGCCCGCGCCGCTCCCACTCGCGGGCGAGGGGCGGCGCGGCAGGAGCTGTCCAACTTTTCAGCACAGTTCCACCGGCGCTGCCCGAGGAAGCGGCCGTCGCCGCCCCGGCCCGACCCGGCCGTCAGCATGGAGGGAGAGCGCGGTGTCGGCAGCGGCTGCTCCGCGATGCCCGGCGGCAGCGACGGCGCCGGCGGCAGCGACGGCGCCGGCGGCAGCGTTAGCCTCCAAGCCCCCAAGCATCTGTGGCGGCACGAGCAGCACTACCCGCCGCAGCTGCGGCAGCACCACTTCCTCCAGCACCAGCCGCCCCCCGGCCCGCCGCCGCCGCCGCCGCCGCCGCCGCCCGCCTCGCGGGGCCGCTGCCTGGCCGGGGCTCGCGTCAGGCACCGCGGCTACTCGGACACCGAGCGGTACCTCTACTGCCGAGCCATGGACCGCGCTTCCTACGCCGTGGAGACCGGACACCGGCCCGGCCTGAAGAAATCGCGGATGTCCTGGCCCTCCTCCTTCCAGGGGCTCAGACGGTACGAGAGGGCTCGTCCGTGCGTGCGCGGGGGGCGGCAGCGGGGACCGCTCTCCCGCCCGCCATGGCCGCTGCCCCGAGAACAGCGCTGGGCGGCGGGAGGGGAGGGAAAGGACGCAGCGCGGCGGCGGGGCCCGGGGCTCCGGGATGCCAGGTCCGTCGGCACGTCGCGCCGCACACACCCGTCCGCGGGTGGAAGAGCCAACGCTGAGCACGTGGGTGGGAGCGCGGCCGCGTCGGTGCCGGCGCGGAGCCCTGAGCGGAGCTCTCCGCCGCGCTCCGCCCCGGCCCCGCTCCGCTGCCCGCGGCTCTTGGCGCTGCCCGCGCTCCCCGGGAGGATGCCGGGTGGGAAAGGAGGAATGCGTGTGCTGCTCAGGCGAAGTTGAAATAATTGAGCGCTCTGGGAGGTGGGAGGCAGTCTGGCAAATCCAGGGTTAGGGTCTTGCTACTTTGAATGGGCTTAGATGAGAAAATAGGCTAATGGTTTCGTAGCCAAAGGGAGGAGTCCGTCATTTAGTAGTCTATTGTTCCCTGTTAAATGAGCTGTAGATGTATTTTGCAGTGCGAGGCTCACCAATGCCTATTTTGCCCTTGATGGCTATCACAGACATCTCTTCTAAAAACAAATTCTCTGTCACAATCAGTAGGACATTGTATTTGATCGATCAATTCATTATTCTATCTTCATTTCCAGTAGCTGGAACCACTTCCTTTTCGTGGAAAGCCACAGGCTTCTGTTTGAATATTAAGCGGATATTGTGAATAAAAGATTTTTGCTGAGAATGGTGGGCAGAATGGCAGTACTTAATGCTCACCCTCTAGATTTTTGATTTCCTGGATAATCAGGTTTTTACAGTATGATATGCTCGATGAATAAATAATAGAATCCTTTATGCATGAAGATTGCTTTGTGTGTTTCTGTGGTACACACTGTGTTCTTTACTATGGAGCTTTGGCCATAAATCTCAGTGAGACATACCTGAATATTCTCTGGCACGACTGCTCTATTTCTACCCAATGTTTGCCTCGTTTCCACTTTGACTATGAGAAATAAAAACAGATTCAGGAATTCTAAATTAAAGCTGTACATCAGTAGTCATTAAAATGTCTTTCAATACCTTTGGCTTTCAAGCAGCCACTCTGTGGCTACACCTCTATATCACTTGTGTGAACTCATGCTTGTCCAAAGTTAATGACGTTATTTTTTTCACAATGTAGGATTTGAAAGAACAAGTCATATGCTTCAAAATGAACAAATACTCAGTTTAGTGCTCTTTTCAATATATTGTTATTTCTTTCGCAGGAAAAAAGGAAAAAAAAAAACGAAACAAAACAAGAAAAACCCAACCACTATGCATCTGGGGCTTTCAGTCTTTAAGACTGAATGCATTTCTCTTTTCTGAATGTGAAGAAGTTACGTTTTTGTAAATTGTAATGGTTGGCTTAGTACACTCAGTCTTTTCTCCATGACTGATGAGTTACTGAGGAGATGACAAGTCATGGTGGGAAGAGTACACATATCTTTTTCTTCTTCTTTTTTTTTGGGGGGTGGGGGGGGGGTTTGGGGGTCATTTTAAAAAAAATGAAGTTACAATTTCTATGATAACTGTTCAAATAGGAACTAAAAATTCCACAAACAGTTTTTTGTTTGTTTGTTTTTGGTTGGTGGGTTTTTTTTTTCAGTTTTAAAATCTTTTCTTCCTTTAAAACGTGCAGTCATGCTGCTTTGACAAGGCAAGCTGCATTAAAATTGAAGGGGAAAGTGGTTTTTATTTTCATTTTAAGGGATTGGCAAAAATGCTTCAAGTAGGCTTCTGTTTTAGAAGTAATCAAGCAAAGTGGAGTAAAGAAGCTTAGCAAATTTGACTGTTCCATGGCTTTCTTAGAAAAAATAAATTCTTGTAGTTAAACTTTCGGAATGTAACGATGAGCTATAATATGGAAACACAAGTGAACTGTGACAAATTGCTTTATGAATATATTCACGGAATTTCAGAAAAAGCCTAGCATTTCCAAGACTTTCATTTCAAGTTCTGGGTCAATTGCTTTTTCATGAAAAGCAAAGCGAAGTATATTCTTAGTATTCTTCTAAAACAAATAGCTTGCAAAAAATCCCTGTACTTTTGAAAAAGACACCAATTGTTACTGAAGCTGTTCGGTTCCTTTATCATTATAAGATTTCTATTATTCCTGTCTTACTCATGAGAAGAACCATTCCTTGATAGATTCCCTTGGATTTATTATGGTCCAGGCTGATAGATTTGTTTTACAGAAATTTTCACGTTATTCTCATTTAGAGGGAGTGGGAAAAATGGTGTGCAGAGCTGTAAAGGAAACATATTGTGAAGATGGTATTTAAAATTACTGGCTCAGATGTGAAAAAATGATACCAAAACTACTTTTTTTTTTTTTTTTTTTTTTTTTTTTTTAAATTTTCTCGCAAGAGATCATCATTCTTAAAACCCCAATTAAAACCACCAAGACACACCTGAGAAAACAGTACACAGCTTCGAAGCTTCTTCTGTCTTAAGTTTTATAGAAAACTTTAAAATATCTAAAAAGCATCAGTTTTTTGGAAAAGAAATGGGGACGAAGAATGGCATATGTTAAGATGAGGGTTAAAACAGAATAGTACATCTTTAATATCAAGGCTAAAGAGAGTTAACATTAAAAAAAATCAACCACCAAAAATTCTAAATGGCATCAAAGAGTTGAAAGACATGATGCCTTTGCAATTCAGAAAATTAGGTACTGATTTGAATATTTGAATATTTCCTTTGGCCCCGTATAATCATCCCAATAATTTTTACACGGTTTATTTAGTAGAGTTGTATTTCTTTCATAGAATGTAACAGTGCATTACATAGAATAGCTTATCATCATAATTGACTGATGTATTTTTCCCAGAGTCTAGATTATTCCTTCTTTTTTCAAACCACAGAGTGCTTTGAACTGACATACGTGAGAGTTACAAGAAAGAGAAAAGAATGAAGAAGATACGTGTGAACATGTTGGATCTTTTTTTTTTGCCATTTGTTTATTATGTGCTCTTGGGCAAGTCAATTAACCTGTCTGTTTTCTCATATGTAAAGTATGAACTGAAAAGAGTCATTATGGATTTCTGTTAAAATTATATTTTTAGGTCAAAAAATTAAAGATACCATGTATCAGTGGTTAGGATTATTGAGATTGGAAAATAAAGACATCAGCTCAGATATTTGTCCAACTGGTGATAAAAAAATACTCTATATAACAAATTGAGCTGATATTCTGGTTATTTTTAAAATTTCAAGTATCTCTATTTGCTTCTCACATGACTATCATTATTTCATGGTCTGTGTTCAGAGTTTAGCTGTCTTTAAAATAAAATAAAAAAAAAACTAGTATTTTTAAAGGCGATTAGTCATATGTCAATTTAATCATCTTGCCATATCATCTTGCTGTGTTCTATTTTTCACTACTGAAATTTCAACCAGGAAAAAATAGAGAAGAAATACCGTAGATCTTCGTTCCACTCACTACTCAAGGAATTCCCCAAGATTTCCTTAAAATACATCCTAATTTCTTAGACCTGCATCTTCTTTTCTGTCAGATTTCCCAGAACATTATTTCTTTATAGTAGATCTCCTGTAAATTTTATCTGAAGTGATTTACAGGTCTAAGTTTCTTCATGAAACCAAGCTTTCATCTGTACTTAAACATAGGCAATTGCACAACAGTGAGGCAAAATTTGCCTTTGCAATCCAGAAATCATGGTACTTGTTCCCATATTGTGTCTATTTTATATATAAAGTATAGAACTGTCAAATCTTTTCAGCTGGAAGGGATCTGCAATGAACAGGGACACCTACAACTAGATCAGGTTTCTTAGAGTCATGTCCATCCTGACTTCGAGTGTCTGCAGGGACAGGGCTTCCACCACCTTTCTGGGCAACCTGTTCACGGCTCTTACTGTAAAAAACCTGCTTTCTTCTATCCATTATCCTTATCTAAATCTCCCTTCTTTTAGTTTGAAACCATTCCCTTTTTTACTTACACAATAGACCCTTTAGCAGTCTGTCTCCTTCTTTCTTACAGCCCGCCTTAGATACAGAAAGTCCATTCTCAGGTGGCCTTCTCTTCTCCAGGC